TGCACTCATTTGTATAAATGAGTTTTAGGCCTTCATCTTTTGTTTCTTTATATTTATCCTATTCTACCACTCTTGATTTCTTTAATAAACTGCTGTGTGACTGAGATTGGTCTTATTTAATTGTTTATGTAAAGGACTAAAAGTGCACTCTCTCATTATTCTTTCCTAGCTTTGCTCTTGTTGTTAAGTGATCTTTTTGTTTTTCCTCTTGATCCAATCATCCAAGCGCTCCATAAAATTTCCAGATATATTCTACTTATTTATCTTTGGAATAAAAGTACACTCTTTAAATACATTCTATTCTTTGCTTATCTGAGTTTCCTCAAATAGTTTTTAGAAATTCGATTGCTTCTTTTACGCTCTTTCATATAGACTTTCAACAATCTATTACTTGGAAGGGGAATGAGTAGTATTTTACTTCTTCTTTGATTTCTAAGGGTCAAGAGCAATTTTAGTTTCTTCATCTTCCATAATCTTGATTTGATTATCGAGAGAGAGGATCTGATTTAGGATCAATTGCTTTTTCATCATTAATTTGGTTGTAGGAGAAAAATTCTCCTTTTAAGATTGGTCTACAAAGAGCTGACTATTTTTGGAATTGTCTTTGGGGGATTCAAATTTGGTGATAACAGTCTCAATCAAGACATCGTTTTCGACCTATTATTTAAATGCTTATAATTCTTCATTGATATATTTGAATTGCTATTAAAATTGATGTCTAGACAAATATTAGCTTAAGCTAGTCTAGTTGCATTTGTTGCGGTCACTTGATAAAGTGTCTCTGAAGAATGGAGTAGGCTCGTCCGATTTGCCCAGAGTTTGCTGTTAACTAATCTATCTTTCAGTTTATGAATTTGGTTTGTGACTACCCTCTGTTTCCATTTTGTTGGTGCGATTTGACTATAGAGCTCCTCTGATGAATGATAATGATGAATTGGTTTAGAGCTCTTTTCTCTGCTGTATTGGAGAAGCCTGCAATTAACTGGATGTTCTCTATTAATTTTTTTGAGAAGGCTATTGAACATATTGTGATGAAACTCTTCTAACGATTTAGGAATTCTGCTGAAGTATGTTATTCTTTTTAATTTACTCTAATGTTTATAAGGCCTCATAAGCTTACGGAGACAAATGTACAAATGACCCACTTTTTTAGTTTTGATGCTTAGATAATTTATTTATGTGCATTCAACGAATACAAATTAATTATAAAATAATTGTGAACTACTTCTCGTTGTTGCTCTCACAATCTTGGTTCAGTATTGCCATAAATTCAATTCATTTATATTTGTATTTGAAAATCCATTTGCTTTTAACAACATCGGTACAATTATTGAGAATTTTAGTATAACAATTATGTATATTAGTAATACCAAATATATCTTTAGATCCATGCGAAATATCTTAATTTGTTTCCTCCCTTTTTAAGAAGAGTAATCGATGGGTGTTATAAATAAGAAGGGTTTATTTAAAATCAAACTAAATTATTTCATCTTAAATTGACCTCATGATTTTTACAAATTTCATTACTTTTTTGGAGAGAATATAAACAAAATCTACTTGAATTTCAGAATTATTAATTTTTATCCTTAACTTCATCATATGTCATTAGATTAGATTTTTTATAAAATATAAATTCATTAACTAATTATATTACAATGGAATTTGTTAAAGTGTAAACTTAGCTAATTAAGTGTTGGCTTTACTATAATTGATATCATCAGGGATTTTCTGAGTCTAATTAATGATTTAATTTGTATTTGCAATAACTACTTCTGATATTATACTCTTATTGAGAATAATTAGTCTAGAAAAATAGTAAGTATTTTTGGATTATTGATAAAAAAAGGATATATTTTATATTTGATACTGTAAATAGTATTTATTAAATATAAAATATTAAATCTTCTTGTCAATTAGCAATTTAGATATTATGATTTAATCTTATTGTTTTGTGTTGTAAAATCGAATTCACATATATTATAACAGGTCTACATTAATATTTAACTTTTCATTTTTACCATTTTTAAAAGATTACAATTTGAGAATAAGAGTCAATGAATTATTAGTTAGATATTAAGAGAACTCTTATATGAGAAAGATCGAATATTAATTATATTTTTTTTATTTTAAGATTGGAAAACTTATTTAATTCGATGAGTTTGAATTATCTAAGGTGATATTCAGCCTTTTTATATTACAATTAATATGGGCGTTATCTGAGATTACATCCAAAAAAACTGCATTTAATTATAAGATGATTGATATAAATAATAAAATGATTTTAAAATATATATATTAATTAAAATTGACTATGAGAATCCTAAATATATTTGTTATTAATGGACATTGAATTACAGTAACTGGATAAGGTTAAGTGGAATTCATAAGAAGATGATTTATTATTGAAATTGCAAAAGCATTTCCAGAATGATTTTTCTCAAATTTCAAGTTAGATGAATAAAATATTCTTTTACAATAAAATGACACCCTCTTTATGTGAATATAGATGGAGATATTACATAGATAGTAACATCAATAGATCTGAATTCAATTAAGCAGAAGAACATAGTATGTTTCAACAAATGAAGAGGAATGATTTGTATACTAATTAATTTTGGTTTGAATTGTCTGATTAATTTCAGAAGAGACCACCCAGCGTATTGAAAGTGTGCACAATGAAGTTCATCATAAAGTACTTAATTGGATTGAGTGAGTCTTATGTGTAAAACAAGGCAGTAAAAAAGAGATATATGGCAAGAATCAAATAGTTTAATATAGACATAATGATTACATTCTTTCGATTGGGAAAAGAGAAGTAGAAAAGAACAGGCCCTCCCACTTTGTTAGGTCAAGGAATCGATCAATGCACTCAACTCTTATTGTACTTAGAATAAATGATATCAACTCGTGGTCAAATGTCTAAATATGATGATTAGAGTGAACAAGCGTCAATTAAATTCCATTCAATGATGGAATGTCTCATCTTCATAGATACGATATTTAGAATATTCCATAAGATCTCCCCTTATAATTAAGGGGAATAGGCAGAGAGAGATAAGATGGAGACTCTGTTGCCATCTAAGAAGTCTACTCTTAGTTTACATGATGACAGAGGCTACGAGGATCAAGCATTCGAATAACTTAATAAAGAGGATGTCCGATTGATATACAATAGTGAAGCGTTGCAGACATTTCAATAATACTTTAGTACAAATGAGTGATTAATTATTCGATATGTTTATTTTAATGATTTCATTCAAGATTCTTATTTAATGCCAAACCAACTCTGTTTTTATCTCTATCGAACTTAGCAGAGTACTTTGTAATAAATACATCACCTAAAATCCATAAGGGACCTCTACAATTAATATAAAATCATACTGTTTGGGTGGTAGATCCAAAGGAAAGATAGTTCCAGCACAACCAACAATCTAATCCATTGATGAATGTTGATAAGGTGCTTCGACTCCTTTTTCTATTAGATATAGAGATGATATTTACATGTGATGGTTAGAATGTAATCCTTAGGTGATAAGACGTAATCATGTCCATCAATAACAAATGTGATATCTGGCATTGTTGGATAATTTTGGCATTTTGGCTCAACTCTGATCATTGACAACAATGCTCTCACATCCTTTGTTGGTCCTGTCAACAAAGTGGTTCCTGTGTCAACAACCATCTTGCACTTATGTTAATGTGTACAGATTCCAGTGTCCTTATTACCCACTTTAATCTATTCTGCCATTATTGACCAATAGAATTGTTCATGAACATTATGATACACCCATTCTCCTTTGATTTGAGAATCGTCACTTCCACCAAAAATTAATTATGACCCTGAATTTCCAGTTGCTCTATTCAAATGGAATGTAAACACATTTGAGTGTAGTTTATGCTATTAGATCATGTAATCAAACAAAGTGGGTACTCCTGTCATATGAGGATAGCCTAATCCCACAATACCATCGAATTCCCCCTCATGAAATGCGTCTCCAATTTATTAAGTCACTTCAATAAACAAAGCATCCTTCAAATCTAAACCATCTACTCTGATTCTCTCTCTGTTTATCAATCCTTTCAAAGTTCCACTTCCAAATACAATTTCCACTGACTTGCCAATCTCATTGAATGATTAACTGTCAGCTCTATTATATCTTTTACTCTTCTAACATCCGATATCTTTACATTGTTCTGAAGCAACACATGTCAAGGCAGAACCTGTGTCGAATATAACGTCGAAAGCGTTCCTTCCTTAGGCACTTCCAACCTATAATTCACCTATGAACATTGTATTCGCTATGTTAGTCAAAGGCACATCTGCGATATAGGAACCATCTTAGTTACGATCGGTTGTCAATAACTTCTAATTTTGATGTTCCATCTATTACTCTATGTGTATGTCAACTGGAGCTAATGCACCAGATTCTTCAAATATACCTTTTTCCTCAGCTGTTAAAGGGATCACATCCATCAAAGATTCATTGACAACCATATTTGTATGTTTACTTTTCTTGTGATGATGTTCCTATTTTTTATTGTGATGATTCTAATGCTTCAAATTCTTCTTCTGAATGTTCTTCTCTAACAACACTGTCTCGAATTACAGTGCCCCTTCATTCCCCTTCCCAATCTTCTGATAATGACTTTCCTCCAACAATTGAGCATGTGAATGTTACAATAAATTTACTATTTCAATCAAATGTTCTTAGGTATGACGGCTCTTTAGCTCTACTGTATAATGCTTAGCTGTCCCTATTAGTAATAAAGCTGCTATCAGCAACATAAATATTTAATTATAATAAAAAAACGAATTATTAAACCTTATAAACTTACATACATCTATCTCACCTAATTTCTCAATTCTAAACAAGTGCTCAATTTTACTCAATTTATGGAGAATACTTACACCGTTATTCCAATTGAACTTTCCTATCTACAACTAGGTAACTTGATTTATTTATCATTTTCTCTCTAATTAAAGCAGTGTGATTGTTTCATTTAATAATAATTAATTTTCAAATTTCAAACAATTATGAATAGAAAATAACAAGCTCCTGTTGCCTAAAAACCAGTTGGGAAATAACAATAAGTCAGTCGAAAATAATAGGACAGGTAAGTCATTAGGGCATCTTAAATTTTAGACCTGGTTTGACTGAAGATGAAATCGAAGAGATTAAGGAAGCTTTCAATTTATTTGATACTGAGGGAACAGGGAAAGTGGACCCTAGAGAATTGAAGGCAGCCATGTAAAGTTTAGGATTTGATTAAAAAAACCCAACTATCTTTAACATGATTGCAGAATTAGAAAATGAGGGAAATGAAATTGATTTCGATTAGTTCTTAGATGCCATCACTTCCAAGTTAGGGAACAGAGAATCCAGAGATGGAATCAATAAAATATTTGATCTTTTTGATGATGATGGCAGTAATGCTATTAACTTGAACAATTTAAAAAGAGTATTGTCTTATTACCAATATTTTAGGTGTCTAAAGAATTAGGTGAAACTATGACAGCTGAAGAACTTGCAGAAATGTTAGAAAGAGCAGCTTCAAATGGTCGAGAAATCTCAAGAGAAGACTTTTATAACATTATGGTCAAAAGAACCTTCTGATATATATAATTCATAGCAGTTAGTTATTATTTTCAAATTAAAATTTATACTTCAATTTTATATATTAAATTACTTAAGATTTTAAATACAATTGTATCTAAACTAAACTGAATGATAACCCTATTTAATAGGAATTGTATTAATTATTATTCAAACAATATCAAATATTAGATTACTTTGTAAATCATAATTGCTGCCAGACTATTGCTAAGCATTCTGAATTTCATTAACTTATTACTCCTCGTTTTATTGATTTCCTTCTTCCTCATGTTCTTTTTTAACCTAAACCTAGATGCAAAACATACATCTGCAGATATCCACAAAGTACGCTTTTCAGTCAAAAAGAGAGCCTTAACCGAAGACTTATTAATCTTTGAAGGGAATCTCAATGAAATTTTATAGAATTTGCCAGCCACCATTTAGAATTACTCCTCATCAACCTTTAATTTGATAGCCTTTCCAGTGATTAAAAGAGGAGTGAGAATTTAAAATCTGTATTGCTTAATTGCATTGTAATCTAGATCCCCATCGTATTCTTATTCATTATTTGGGTAAATCAAGTACAATTCCCATTCAGGTTCATAGGTTACAAAAGCGGGTGGCTGAGTAGATATAGATTATTTTTCGAACTCCTCTCTCTGCCTTTTCCTTACTAAGTTATAAATTGCAATAGTTATTACTTTGTTCTGTCTCATCTTCATCATCGTTATTCTGCACAGGCGATTAATTGGGTTTTTCATCTATTACTTAAACTTTGGGAGGTTTCTTTCCTTTGACTCTTTGAAATTGTACGCTTTTTCCTTTGTATTTCATTTTGAGAGAGATGAATTCTACGATATTAGTTGATTCTTACTATCCTGCAACTTGAGCTTGTATTTTTAATCTACGTAGGTTTGTACGAGTTGGCAAAAGAAGGTTTTCAGATTGTCATCTTGGGTTAGATTGGTGGCAACTGTTGGATTAATGACTAGATCGATGACTTTGCAAGTATCGCCTTCTACGTTGATTTAGATTAGCTTTATTACTTACATCATGATCTTCTTTGATGCTCCCGACGCTCATGGGCACTCGAATGCCAACCTCGTTGTTGTAATCAATAAGTTGTTTTTCTTCTGGAGCATCAACGACGGAATGAGCAGTGACATTGAAGAAGACTTTTTCTCCGTTCTGATCGAAGGCTTTGAGTACGAAATGAGGTGTTGGTTCAATCATCATGCCGCCTTCTTGATCTAAGTATTCTTGGATGTCTTTGAGTTTCTGAAAAATAAGGATATTGATAAAATAGAGTACCAGATATTCGGGGTCAGTCAAGGGCTTGGTCTTGAGATGATTAGTTTGTGTATTGGCTTTCTTTTATTAGAAAAGAAATTGATCGTATTTTTATTTGAGCTATAGACATAATATGAATTATGCACTTCGGGATTGCTTTTAATGAAGTCCATTATTTATTCGTCTGAAAATTAGGATAAATCGAACTATTCTGGTTAGTGATTGGGAAACATGTATTTGGTTTAATAAAAATTATTAAATTATTTAAAAAGAGGTTGTGGGTGTGAAGTAATAAAATTTGAAAGGGGAGACACTGTTTCAGAGATGTATATTTTTATTCTTAAAATTTGAAACACAGAAAACATTAATAATTAATTCGAATTCTTTTTTATTTCAAATGTCTCAATACGGCAAGGCAGAATACTGGGAGGAACGATACACGAGGTAAGGTCAATGGAATACACAGTTAGGGATCCAGAACCATTTGATTGGTATCAGAGATTTGCAGGAGTGAAGGATCTGGTTCAAGCATGTTTCACACCTGAGAGCAAGTTGTTGAATGTTGGAGCAGGCAATTCAAGTATTGATAATGTTGAGTATGTGAGGGTTGAGCGAGGAGATGTTTGATGAAGGTTATTAGAATATTACAAACATTGATATTTCACATGTAGTTACCAAGGCAATGTAGGAGAAGTACAAGGACAAGGGGCCCAATTTCAAATGTAAGAGGCGTATGTTCAATTAGATTAGATTTACATATGGATGCAAGGGCAATGGATTTTGAAGAGGGAGCATTTGATGGGGCTATTGACAAGGGAACTTTGGATGCGATCTTGGTATCACTTCCTATTGATTTTAAGTGTGGAGAGTCGTCGTCCTCGAATGCTTAGAAGGTGATTCAAGAAGTTCATAGAGTCTTGGGACCCAAGGGAGTTTTCTTTATCATTTCGTATGGTTTGCCTGAGCACCGACTTCAATACCTCGAGAAACCAGAGTATGATTGGTATGATGAATTAATGATCTTAATGCAGGAATGTCGTAGTTAAATAAGTTCACAAGCCCACTATTTCAACATCGATTGCAATCACAAATGAGGACAAAGACGCTCCGAATGTTCATTATATTTATATTTGCACCAAAGTAGAAATTTACATTAAATTTAGGGTCAACCCAAAGGAGCTAAATAATGATTGGTTTATATATATAATCGACATAATATTTAAATATATTTACATATATGAATTATTAATAGGCAATCCAATCCTGTAGCCCTACTAAATAAAAGTAAGAATGTTTCTAAAGAAGATAAGAAGAGATTGGCTCTCCGGTTACGATTTCCCTTCAATCTGAATTCGAGCAGTTAACATTGGATACTTCTCCCAAATTAGATCCACTCACCAATCAGCACAGTGGCATTCTAGACTTCATCGATGAAATAGATCAAGAAGAGAAGTTTAAGAAACATCAGAGTTTGAGTTTGTAGAAAGACCTCATACGAAGAAATAATAAAAACAAGTCCAACGAAGGGCAATCGTCTCCACACTCCAATCAATCTTTGAATGATCAGAAGTTTAAATACATCAAAGAACTTTGGCTATAGGAATCGCCCATATAAGAAATAAACAAACAAGTTCTATCTTAGAGAGTGATTTCAATCAACGAAGAACAATATTTCAAAGATCTTCAGAGTGACAACGTTATCGGAATGGGGGTCTATCACTCAAATGAAGCCAGTCCTCAAATGTACTTCGAACCCGATATCGAGACTGACATCTACATTTCAAGTTTGATAGTAAATGACTAAATTAAATTTTCAATAGGATTCACTTTGGGGAAACTAAATTGTCTCTCGAAAATTGCAGAAGCTAATTGAATCTGGAACCCCGGAATAGCAATTATTGATAGTCCAAAAGCTAGAAAGAATCAGTCCCTAAATACAGAAGGACGTCTTTGGGAACTACGTTGTTCAAAAGATCTTTGATAGTTGTGGAGATGTCAAACTCAAGACCAGAATGTTCAACAAGTTGAAGACTCACTTTTACGATTTGTCCAAGAATCCCTTTGGTTGCAGAGTCATGCAGAAGTTGATTGAGTATTCGTAAGGCAAAGAGGATATCTAGAATTCTATACTTTCTTAATTGGTTTAGAATATGAGATCTTTGATTTACGATTCCAATGGCAACTATGTCATTTTCAAGATGCTTGAATCCTATGACAAATCTAAAATGGAATTTCTCATTCCCATCGTTGAAGAATCTGTATCTCATCAATCTATTCTAGTTTCATTACATGGCCCAGTAAATATATGGATGCAAAATCATTCACAAAATCATCCAATAATACCCTCCCAATTTCATTGCCAACCTAGTCAAACAATCTATCGCTAATTATTCAGGCTTAAGTTAAACCGAATTTGGAAACTATATACTTTAACACATATTGTAATTTTGGATTCCCTCTCCAGAGAAAACTCGACTAATCTAACTTGTAATCTAACAGTTTTATCAATTAAGCATTAACAAATATGCAAGGTGAGCAATCTTACTCTATATATTAGTAATACTGTTGAAAGAGCCTTAGAGACATTGAGTAAATCTGAATTGATAACTGTTCTAAATTGGCTGCTATTTAGAAACTAAACTTAGCAATAGTTCTCCTATGTAGCTACAAACTTTGTGCAATTAGCAAATCACTAATTTGCAAATTATGTGATCAAGAAATTTTTGATCTTAATTCGATCAATAAATGTAGCAATCCATTTTAAACTACTTAATAAAGAATCAGTAGGAGTATTAAGCTCTGAAAACCACTTTGCACGGTAATTTTAATTGAAATTCAAATAGGCTAACGAATTTGCAGTCTTTTGGAGAAATAAGTGAAATGTTGATAGTGTGTTAGAATATATATATATATAATATATTGAATAAAAACTGTGGAAATATATTTAATAATTGACTTATTTTTCGATAAGTCAGAATGCTAAGAAGTATTTTGTGATCGTAATTTTCAAATAATGATATATCAATGTCTCAGACTTCTTGTACTCTTCTTTAGACACCTTCATTTAGGACATACAATTACCTTTGGGAGGGGGGATGAAATCAGTGTATACTGTGTTGTAAAGATTTGGGTAGAGTGCCCAGACAGCTAGAATTTTATTAAATAATAAAGCATACCCCAGCAGCCAACAGCTGGCATAATTCCCAAGAATCTCTTGCCCTTGGCACTCCAAGCTTCGTATCCTAATTTGTAAAATGTTGGTAAATACATTATTTAATTAAAAATATTGGAAATCTTTAGACTCTAATAACTCTAAAAAATTAAGTTCATATTTATGAAATATCAAATATATACTATTAAGCATTGAAAACATTCAAATTAATTGTAATTACATTTCATAGATCACTTTAAATGGTATTTCTTTTAACCTTAAATA